TGCAGGAGACCGTTCTGGAACAGTCTTGGCTCCTTCCCTGGGTCTCAGGGACCCAGGTCTGAGTGACGTGACATGCACACCTCAGTGGCCCGGCCCCTGAGCCTGAACAGCTGGCCCCACCAGACAAGGGTGCTTCTCTGCAAAGCGCCCCGAGGGCCAGGGAGGGTTACCTGATGCACGATGCTGCTCATGAGCTCCCTGTTGGTCATGCTGGCCAGCTCCAGGTGGACTGGAACTCCGGTGGGGATGTCAGAAATGGAGGTTACAACCTGCGGAGACAAGAGGACAGCACCGCAGTCAGAAGCAGAAGGAAGTCAAGCAAGAGGGAAGGAGCAGGTCCCGGGAGGCAGTGCCTCCTGCGGCCACCTTCCACGCTCCCAGCCACATGGGGACCACCGCCTCTTTGGCCGAGGGAGGCTTCTCCCAACAGGGAAAACTAGGCTCTGCAGAGGTGCAGGAGTTAAGGACTCAGCGCAAAGAGCCGCCCCGGCACCAGGGCACGGCCAGCCTCCCCCTGGGGACCTAGCCTGAGCCATCGGCTTCACCTGCCGTGGGAGCCTGCAGCACAGCTGATGGGAATGAGATGACACAGAGAACACACAGGACACACACATACCGCAGCCTGCAGCCGCATGCGGTCAAGCACGGGAAGAAGAGGCTCAGGCCAGCTGTCCTGGCCTGTCCTGCTCAGGGGCTTCCGTGCGCGGAGGCTCACTGTGAGGCACCTCGCTGGAGGGGGAGGTGGCAGGCTTCCCGCCGCAGGACCCAGGGCAGGGCAGCCCAGACCACGAGGCAGGGACCTGCAGGAGCACGCCGGCTGCGTCCGGCGAGGTCTACAACAGCGCTATTACCTCCAGGAGCCTCTTCTTCTGGAACTCCTTGCTTTGTCCCTCCATCATGTGCAATCCAGAGATGACCACCAGGTCTGGCTGGAACTCCTCCAGGCTGGACACAAACACCTCCAGCATATTCATGGCCCCGTTGGAGAGGTCGTGGGAGAAGATGAACCGGTTGGCGTGGGGAGCTTTTAACTGGCCCCACTCCTCCCCTAGAAAAGCCCAGTCAACACAGCGGGAAGGAAAGGAAGAGGCTTTAAGTCTCCTGGCTGTGTGGGGCTGGCGGCGCCTCACTGGAGCCTGGGCTCTGGGCAGGACGGCTTCTGGCTGAGTGGACCCGGCCGCCACGGCCCCAGGGAAGCACCACGCCGTAGCCAGGACAGTGGTCAGCACAGAAACCAGCCCAAACCCCAACTCCAGCCCCACAACAGCACAGAAACACGGACAGGTGCCGTGTGCCTCTGTCCAGGGGCTGCCAAGTAGCTCCCCTCGAGTCCCAGGAAAGCCCCCCTGTCCACCAAGCTCTCAGATACAGGGCGTCTGCGCCCTTCCCCGCCCCAGAGCACGACTTCTAGACACCAGTGCACGGGGCACACAGCACAGGTCCCCGAGCGTGCGACCTGCTGGCTTTCCCCTTGTGTGTCCTGCCTCGCAGCGGGGCCCTGAGCACCTGTCATGTGACTGGAGCCTAAGGAGGCTGAGATTCCAAGAGTCAGGCTGACGGCGCCCTCCCTCCCTGCCGCCCACGGGCTGTCTGGGCACCTGCTCCGGCCTCTTCTCAGTGAGCTGCTCTGGAGTACCGGCCGCCCAGGACTAAGCTCACGTGTTCCTCCCTCCCTACGTGGCTGCCGCCTGCTCCGGCCTGAGGGCCCTTTCACTGCTGTGAGGATCCAGAGAGTCTCCTTCACATGACTTGATGATTAGTCATTTTGCTCTGAGTGCTCTTCTTCTACTATTTTGAATGAGTATTCAAACCTACCTTGACCCCCACAGCACAGGCAAGGTCCCCTGCACAGAACCACCTGGCGCCCGCTAATCTGATCCCAGCAAGGATGGCCTCTCCTGGGAAGCCTTTCTGAACTCTGCTCCCCCCAAGCAGACTCGACTACAGTGCGCCCTTTCGCGGGCCACCGCTGGACGCTATGCAGGACGTGGCACACGACTGTGCCATCACTTGTTCAAGAGTCCACCTCCTGCAGTGAACTGTGGGCCGAGGATAGGCCCGTGTCTTCCATCATCATCTTACTTCTACTGCCTCACACTGCGCCTGGCACACAGCCACGTGACCGAGTCAGCAAAAGAACGAGTGAGTAAGCGAACAGACCGATGACTCAAATGCCCACGGCACAAAAAGCGTGGGTGTGAGTTCTAAGCCAACGTTTCCCCAACTGACAAGACCCCGTACAATGGGAGAAACACGCAGCACAAGTACTCTCCACGGGGCAAGGCCTGGGGCGGGCACTCGGAGAGAAGCCGCTGAGCAGCCCTGCCTCGCGCGGCCCACGAGAGAAGAGCCACAGCGCCTCCTCAGGGGGCAAGTGAGGGAGGCAAAAATGGACAGGCTTCCGCAAGGCGAGACAAGGAGGGCCGTGGAGAGCGGGCGCCGGCGGCTCCCGCGGGACGCAGGACTGACGGCGCGGCCCGAGAAGCGGAACGACAGAGACGCGGACGGGGTGAGCCCGGGGCCACACTCAGCCCCGCTCTGTTCTCGCAAAGCTCTGAAGCTGTTTCCTTAAGTGATCCCTCCTCTCAATTCATGCCCCTGCCCTTCAGTCAGTAAGGCAGCAACGCCTGTGCAGTGACTCAAGGACCCCAGTCCGAAGCCGGAAAACCAGCTTCTCCGGGAGCTCTGGCCGGAGGGAGGAAAGCGCTGCCGAACCCCCTGTGGGGTGGACTCATCTAGGCCAGAGAGACGCTGGGGACGGGTTTCCGTTAAGAGAGCTGACCCGAGGGCTGCTGCCACCAGACCAGGTTCCCTCCGGGGCGAGGAAGACGCACATCAAGTCTGGAGGCAGGCCATGGCTTTGTGCTGAGAAAATGAGGCGGAGAAAAGGAAGACTGAAGTGGGAGCTCGTAAACCCAAGACGAGACAGGCCCCTTTCAAGGTAACCTGGGTCGTAACCACACACAAGGCACCGCTGTCAAACACGAACAGCGGAGTCCTGGTGAAGACACGAGTGTCTCGACTCTGTCGTCACCAGGGACCAGGTGCAAGCGCCAACAGCGCCGAAGGAGAGGAAGCTGGAACCGGGGCAGCAGCCCTGCTAAGGCGCACACACCTTCGGCCACTCCAGGCCCTTCCAGCCAGCAGTCTTGTTCATGCCTTTCATTTAAGCAGCTCACTGTGTTAAACACACTGACCTCTCAGTCCTCACCACCACCTGCAGGCAGCAAGAACCAGCATTCTGACTTCCGGCCTGGGGACAGTAAAACTGAGGATCGCTAAATGGGAACTGCCCACTCTGATGTTCTGTCTCTAATTTTCAGACCCTGCCCTCCTAACTTCTTCATTCCAGTAGGCACCCAAAAGAGAACCAGAAACAAGAAACAACTGCTTTTTTGTGCTTGGAGGAAGGCATAATTTTTAAGATGCACCATTATTTCCTATCTAACATGAGAGTTAACTACTCTAATAGGTGAGGCACTTAATCGGCTGACTTGGAAGCAGTTCACAGACGCATATTAACTAAGTACTGCTTTTAGGTACCAATTAGTCTGTTTAGATGTCTGAGTCTTTAACTTGAATAAATACGTTGAATCAGAAATTCAAGAGTCTGAGTTCTGAGCAGGGGACAGACACAACAGCAAACACACAGAACCTGATAAACAGAATTAGAATATGTGCGGGCACTTGGGACTCTCAGAAGTCAGATCTGTAGTCTGTACAACACACAGTCTCCTGGGGGTGGGATGGGGCGGGCCTGGAGTTGTAAGCATCGGGACATTACATAACAGGAAATAACACCAATGCTGTTGAACACAAAACACTTCCACTCACACACCCAAGGGGAAACAAAATGCTTCAAAGGAAGCTTGCCAGAGGCCTGGCATCAGCCCTAAGCAGCTTGGAATGGTTAGCCAGAGAGGCCTGGGCCAGAGCACAGCACAGAGCTCGGCAGGTGTTAACTGCCCTTCTCTTTCCTTAACAATCAAGAAGAGCTTCATACATGTGTGTTTAACACGTTTCTGCCTGTATTCGCGACGCCTGCTTTCCTGCGGCCCAATTTCCCTTGCATTCAGGCCCATCACGTCTGTGGACCTGGGACTCTCCTTCAGTGCAGTGACCTCCACCGTGCTCCCCCAAGACAACGGCCAGCATCAGCCCAGCAGAACCAAGGGGTCAGGAAACCTTTCACAAGGCTAGAAAAGGCTCCTGCCAACTTACAGAGAGAGGTTTCTAGCACAGTCACACCCCAAAGCCCCTGCCCGGTCTCACACCATTACTCACTCACTTCCTCTTACCTGCTTGATACTCTAAAATGAGGTGAAACTCATCCACTTCCTGCAGTGACTCTGGTGGAACAAACACATTGTCATCAAGAAGTTCATGCAGCTTTGGACCAACTGGACCACAAAGAAGCACCTGCAGACGAGCAATGCAAAGTCCATCAGGAGGCCCGCCCCTTCTCCCACAGAGTCTGTACACGAGGTACACCAGGCATTTCTATTTATTTCAACAAAACACTGGAATCCAAATCCAATTTTGAAAGCTTTTGGTTTGGAGGAACGTAGTTGGGGCGTAGGCCTCTGGAGGGTATGGATACAACGTACCCAGAAATGAGAGGCGACACAAGACCACGTCACAGGTGTCAGACAGGTACCCACGTGGCTGCTGACGCCCACGCACCCTGTGAGGGACTGAGCGTGTCCCCTCAAGTTCCAGTGTCGAAGCCTAAATGCCAACGCGATGATAGCTGGGTAGAGTGCACAGGAGGTAAATGAGGTCATGTGGGTGGGGTCCTCACTCAACAGGACTGGGGGCCTTATGGGAACAGGGGGAGAGAGCTCTCTTTCTCACTACAGCCATTAAAGAAAGGCCACGTGAGGACACACCGGGAGGTGGCCGTCTCCAAGGCAGAAGAGAGCTCTTAAGAAACCAAACCCTGCTGGAACTGTGGCCCTGGGCCTTCCAGCCTCCAGAACTGTAAGAAAATAAACGTATGTTGTTTAAGCCACCCAGCCCATGGCACTGTGTCACCACGGCAGCCCAAGCGGACCGAGACACACCTCGCCCACTTTCTCTCCTTACTCACGCACATCCTGCACAGACAGACACAGGATGCCGTCTGTTCGAAGTCACCAGATGTAAACAACTGTTTGAATTTTACAGAAACGAGCCTCAGGACCACAGTAACCAAGTGACCTGACTTGTGGGACCAGGCTTCCGATGGTACTTGGTTGTTACGTGAACAAGAGAGTCTTCCAAATACAAGAATTAAAGAGCACTTCGATTCAGAAGTCTGGGGGGAGGTGCTCTGCAGCTTTTCCAAAACCCTTTCTTCAGCTCCACCCCAGGCCTCTCCCTGGCTGCTGCTTCCAGAAGCCATTTCACACCTGCTGCTGCTTCTGCCCAGCCAGCTCTGGGCCCCGCTCACGACCAGGCTAACAGACTCAAGACCACTGAACCATGAGGGCTTGGACCAGGATTCCAAGAAAGTCCCCAGAGGTGAGCAACACCACTTCAGATTTAATATGCCCCCAGAAGCTTTGAAGGACATTTTTACTTGCTGATTAACTGCTCATTTGTACAGAGGCATTTTCACATATCTAAGAAATTCCAGCTTCTGGGTGAAAACACCCTCCCGCCCCTTGCCCTGCTCCCCGTCTGTCCTGACATGTGCCCACTGTCTGCCGCTCGGAAAAGTCTCACCCCTACAATTGTGTTTCTTTTCTCTAATTCTTGGCTAGAATTTCAGCTTCTGAGATGAGGTAACAAGGGCCAGATTTACCCTCCTGCCTGAAACAACAACAACAAAACAGATGAAATATATGAAACAATGGTTTTCAAAACATTTAGACCTGGGCAACAAAGGACAGTGATCCCTAAGAAACAGAAGAAAAACTGAGCAAGCCCTACCAATGCCTTAGCAAATTACGCTAAAAGGGTTTCCAAATATACAAAATCTGAAAGAATTCACCACCAGCAGACCTGCGCTACAAGAAACGTTAAAGGAAATCCTTCAGCTTTTTCTTATTATTTAAATGTCTTTAAAAGAGAATTAACTGTTTGAAGAAAAGTATCAACAGCACAGTATGAAATGTACAGCCCATCCAGAAGCAAAGTACACGGCAGAACAGTACAAAAAGAGGAGGGGAGAGACGGAGGTAAACTACTGTGAGGGTCTTCCATCCAGCTGGTGGTGAAAAGCAGACTGTGATAAGCCAAAAATGAACGTTACAAAGCCTAAAGCAGCTGCTAAAGGAAAGAAGTGGCAAGATGCCAGATCTAACCCTAACCTGATAGAGCAACAATCACATTAGATGTAAATAACATAACAGCCCAATTACAAGTCAGTGAATGTCAAAGTGTATTAAAAAGCAAGCACCCACTACATGCTGCCCACAAGAAACACATTTTAAATATAAAGACACAAGTGGGTTAAAAGCAGAAGGACGGAAAAAGATGCACCATGATAACACCAATCAAAAGGAAGTTGGAATGGCGAATTTTAATCAAGAGATTGCATAACAAGGAATTTTATGAAATTATTTTATCTCCAGTAATGATAAAAGGGTCAATTCGGGGAGGGGACGTAACAACCCTTAACAGTTATGCATCTAATAACAGAGCTTAAAAATACATGAAGAAAAAGTTACAGGCCTGCAAGGCAAAGAGACAAGACCGTAATTACAGCGAGACCCCTCTTCAGCAATTGGTCAGTAGACAGAAAAGCAGTAAGAATACAGAAGACTTGAACATTATCAACCAGCCTGGCCTGACACTCACAGAATACTCCACCACAAACGGCAAAACGTAACATACTTCTCAGGTGTACATGGAACTGCACAAGACAGACTATATTCGAGGCCATAAAAGAGTCTGAACAAATGTAACAGGAGTGAGAGAAGTGTGGTCTCTGACCAAATGGAATTGAAGTAGAAATCAGTTATAGAAAGGTGACTGGAAACCCCCCAATATTGAAAAGGTGAACAGCACATTTCTGAGTAGTCCATAGATGGGCTTAATTAAGTGGCTCATCTCAAGAAATCAGAGGGAAATTTAAAACCATTTGATTTGAACAGAATGAAAATAAAAACACAACATTTGATAAAAATGTATCAAAACCTGTGGGACAAGCGACTTACGGGGAAATTCACAGCACTGAACACTTTATGCCAGAAAACAAGGCAGGGCCAAAAATCACTGACCTCAGTTACTACCTTAAGAAACTAGAAAAAGGAGAGAAAGTTAAATTCAAAGCAAACAGAAGCCGATGAAATAAAAAAGAAATATAGGGAAAAAAAATCAGTGAAGCCAGGGGTAGGGAGCAGAGCTCAGTGAGAGAGGCGCGCTCAGCCTGCACGAGAGCCTGCGGTCAATCCCCAGCACCTCCGTGAACAAGTTTCAAAAAAAAAAAAATCAGTGGAACTGAAAACTCATTATTATGGAAGCGATCAATAAAACTGATAAACCTATAGCCAAACTGATCAAGGAAAAAAAAGACATTACCAGTTTCAGGAAAGAGCGCGAGAGACCACCACTAGATTCTATAGATCTGAAAGGGATAAGGGAACAGTATGATTAATTTTATGCCAAGAAATTCAACAACTCAGAAGAAATGGACAACCTCCTTGACAGGTAAAACTACCAAAGCTCACTCAAGAAACAGAAAGTCTGAATTTCTCTATATCTATTAAGTCAAAGTTGTTAAAAATCTTTCCACAGCAGAAACTTCAGGCCTAGAGGACGTCACTGGCGAACTTCGCAAACATGTGAGGAAGGGATGATACCAATTCCACACAAACTCTTAAAAAAAAAAAGGAATGGTTCCCAACTCATTCTGCAAGATCAGTATTACCTGGATCCCAAACCAGACAGACAAAGAAAGAAAAATCCAGCCCTCATAGAAACTGATGTAAAAAATGCAAACAAAATTTTATTAAACTGAATCCAATGATACATAAAAAGGGTAACACACCAGAAGCAAGTAAGGTTTATCCCAGGGATACAAGGCTGGTTTAACATTTGAAAAATCAATGTAATTACCATACAGCAAACTAAAAACCAAAAACCACATACAGTCATCTCAACAGATGCAGAAGCAGCATTTGACAAAATCCAACATCTACTGCAAATTCTTGGCTAAATTCCAAGTATATTCCGTAAAGGCTGCTCTCTTCTGTGCTCTGGCTTCCGTTTCACCACCCTACTACTCCGCGTTTGCTACACACACCAGGGTCTGTTTCTAAGACACAGCATAGCCTGGTTGTGACGAGCATGGACTCTGGAGCAAGACTACTTGGGTTCAGATCCCAGCTCCTCACTAGGTATGGGAACCGGAACAGTTTTAACTTCTTCATGCCTCATTTTTCCCACCTGCAAAATGGGGATAGTAACAGACCCCCTCCCAGGCCATCACGAGGATTAAATGGGTTCATATAACGTAAAGCAGTGCTCTGGACATGGAAGAATGACCTAAGCGTTAACTATTATTATTGCCTTTGGAAAACCCTAGGCCTTGATCTGTGGTGGTTCTCTGATGATCACCTGGTCCATATTGAGAAGCATTTCAGTAAGTTAAACTAAATTCCTCTGAGAGCAGTTTCAGGTGGTGAGGTCATGGCAGAGCCTGGTGTTTGAATCCTGGCTCCATCACTTACCGGCTCGGTGACCTTGGGCACATGACTCAACCTCTCTGAACCAGCTTTCTTATCTTTAAAAGGGTGATAATCCTTAGTTCATCATATTATAGTGAGAGCAGAGTAACAGATACCCGTTTTCTTTCCTTAACCTCTTACCAAGGCCAGGTTTTGTTTTTTTTTTCCTTTTTAAACCAGAATGCTTTCCAGTCCCAGGGTCAGCTTCTCCAGAGACCAACAGCAAATGCTGGTTCCAGAGGAGGTCAGATTGAAAGGTCCATCTAACCCAGGACTTCCAGGGCCAGAATTACTTCTCGGGGTCAAGAGGGTGGATTTTCTTAGGGACCCAGACAAATGCCCAGGCTCCTGATGGGAAGGGCCTGGCTTCTCTCTAATGAGCTAACGACTGATCCTTCCTTCTCTTCTGTCCATTTGCCGGTAATATTTCCAAAGGTCAGCCCTGGAATTTCTCATCTTCTCTGTCTGGAAGTTAATCACTATCTGTAAGGACTATAAAAAAGTGTTTCCCACCTTGTTATTTTATGAAAACGCTAATTCTTACTAAAGTGTGAATGTTCAAACTTTAATATGCTCTCCACATCTAAGCACATCCATCCCTTGGTGAACAGTGCGGCTCCCTATGAATTTGTTCCCTCAAACTGCAGATCATTTTTAACTGAATTTCTGGATCAATCTGTGGGCTCTTATTCTGTACCCCTGACCCATATTTCTATCTGCAGGCTGGTTGCCCGAAACCAGAGGACTACCTATGGTTCCCCTTCTCTCCTGTCAGTAGCCCCATCACCATCTCTCCTGCACTTCTCCAGTTCACTTACTCCAGAATCGTCTTTGTTAAACCTACCTTCTTTGCCCCCATGGACTGTCTAGCACCACGTGATTCCATGTTAGTAGGCTTTAGACAGAAGTCTTTCTCCTCTTCTGACGTCTCTCATCCAAACCTCACTCATTTCACAGCAGGACAACAGTAGTCACCTCCTGGCTGGCCTTCCTCCTCAGACCTTGCCCACTTGTAGCAAAAGGTACTTAAGAACGTGGAATTTGGGGTCCTGGGTTAGAACTGTTCTGTTTCTTACTAGCTGTGAACCTCTCCATGCCTCGAGCTTCATGTGGAAAGCAAGACAGTAACAGTACCACAGCAGCACCAGAGAGCCTTGCAGGCTGTCCCAAGGATTAAATGAGACACTCTCCGGAAAGCACTGAAGACAACACCAGGCACACAGTAAGCACAAAGAAGCCTTCGCTGCTGCTCCTCTCCTTCCACTGCTACATTCCTAACAAGAGCCCCAGGGTCTGGCACACAGTAGGTGGTCCGTAGGTTGAATCACAGAACAGATACTCATCCTTGCCCCTAAAATTACTGAAACAGTAGTGAAAGGCACAGGTTTTAGTCTGGGAGTGTGACCTACCTTTAAATCCGAGTTGGCTGCAAACTTCTGTCCAATTAAAGCTGCGTTTCCTCCTACATAGTGCTGTGAAACAGTTCAACGTTATTAGACGGCATTTTAACATAACTGTTACTCAAGCTTTATTCAATTAATTTACGGTCCATTTTCTTCCAAAAAAGGTTTGAGGTAACATTACAACAAGAACACACAGATAAGATTAATAAAAATGTTAACCCCATAGGTTGACAGACAATGAATTAGAAGGTTTAAAAAAAAAAAAAGCTACCCTTGAAAATTGGTATAATTGCCTTAATAGTAGATCAAATTTGGCCTTGAGCTTCCAAGCAGCTGAACAGATAAAGGAAACAAAAGGAAATATAACAAGTATGAATAGACCTTATCTTCTGCACTGTCTTCCTTCTAAAGTGAGTATATGATCATGTTACTCTCCTCCTGAAAAATCATTCGATATTACAGTGAACTAAAGTCCAACTCATTTATTTCACTTTTAAATTGAAGTACAGTTGGTGTATATTATATATATTACAGGTATACAATATAATAAAGGTTATACCCATTTATAGTCATTATAAATTATTCCCTGTATTCCCCACATTGTACATACATCCTTGGAGCTTATTTTATACTCGATAGTTTGTACCTCTGTCCCCTACCCCTATCTTGTCCCTCCCCTGCCCCTCCTCCCCAGTAACCACTAGTTTGTTTTTTTATCTGTGAGTCTGCTTCTTTTTTTTTGTTATATTCACTAGTTTGTTTTACTTTTTAGATTCCACATATAAGTGATTTCATACAGTATTTATATCATATATTTCCTGTCTGACTTATTTCAGTCATAATACCCTCAAAGTTCATCCATGTTACTGCAAATGGCAAATTTTCATTCTTTTTAATGGCTGAGTAGTATTCCATTATATCTATCTATTATATATGTGTGCATATATATATATGTATATATATAATATAAAATGTGTGTGTACACACACACACACACACAGAGTCTTCTTTATCCATTCTTCTGTTGATGGACACTTAAGCTGCTTCCATATCTGGGCAACTGTAAATAATGCTGCTATGAATGTTGGGGTGCATCTATCTTTTCAAATTAGTGTTAAAACTCAACTCTTAAGTGAGGCATACAGGCCCCCTTTCTCTCCCCGGCTTTCCTGTCCACCTCCATCTCCTGCCCTGCCTCCACACCACGCCCGCAGCTCTCGGTCTGCCTTCCTCGGTCTCCATGCTGCTTCCTTTGATGAGCATACCTCCTGCTCCTCATGCATCGGTTAAGTCCTTGATGGTGTCTCAAGAATCAGCTGCAGAGTCACCTCTTCTGCAGCGCCTCCTGTTGCCCTTGTCCCATGGCCACCTCCGCCTCCACACCCCCCCCACCCCCGACAGGATTAGATCCCTTGCTACTCGCCACACCTCTACCCAGAAGAAGCTCTCCTGCAGCCCCTGTCCACTTGTGCTGGTGTCATCTGAGGACATGTTTAGCTCCTTCGGGGCGGGGACAGTCTTACAGTAAGTGCTCAGTAAATGTCTGCTGCTAAATTTTGAGAAAGGAAGAAACACACTGATGCATCAGGAGATGTAAAAGCTCTCTTGGGAGTAAATTCTAACAGGAATGGGCTCTAACAGAGGACAAAGTTTTCTCCTAAACACCGCATCTCTCAGCTGAGGTCCTGAGGGGGAGAGCAGGTAACTCCAGGCCAGTGTTCCACGTTGCTAAGGGTGCATTCACGTGCTCGGGAAACCTGACAAGCAGGAAATCAGGCTGATGCTGTCATGAGAGTTCAGAGACCTCGTCAACAGCCTTGCCTGGGAGGAAGGCTGCTGCCTCCCCTCCCGGCCCTCAGCCCCACCAGAGGCACAGCTAAGTAAGCCAATTCTAGACGCTAGACATCACTTTCAGGTGGGACACTAACGGCTTTCTGTAGATAAATTTTAAACTTTCTGTGATATACAGGCTGAAATTTGGCCTTATAGCATGTTAAACTTAATTTAACTATGATGGCTGGAAGAATGTACTAAAAATCTTGGAGAAAACATTAAGATGCTATGAAGTGGATTTTAGAGTTTTCATATAATTATTACTAACTGCTGTTTATTAATCAATCTGTCTTATAGTTTAAGGGAATTTGAAAAGGTATGAAATGAAGTTCACCCTAATGGAAGATAAGTAACACATTTTAGGTTTTACAATGTTAAGAAATACTTTGGATGCTGTAAAAGCTAGATAAAATTTCTGTAGAAAAAATGTTTACATTATGAAACAAAAGGCAGGATCAAGGCAGAAGAGAAAGAACAGAAATCAAATTAGCAGTTTAAATGCCACGATCATAAAGACTGCTAAGCAGCAGACTTGCCATCATGTTAGTCCTATCAAGGTTCTGTCAGAAAGACCAGAATCTCACTCCTGAGCTCAGCTGTCAAGATGACTGTAACTGAAATTTCAGCAGCTTGCGTCTCTGTCAGAAACTCAGCTGGGTGGTGCCCGTGCTGCCTGTTCCCATGGGCAGCTTCAAAGGGAACAAAACACTGTAAAATCACTTTAATGGCTATCAAAGTAAGTGGCCATAAAGAATGGCCTGTGAAAGGTACCAAATAAAAACGGCATTAAGAGCTTCCCCAACAAGAAGCACATCCAGACGGGGGTGACCAGACAAAGGGAGATTTAGGTAAGACGGGTGGAGCGTCTTACCTAAGACAGACAACACTTGGCCTCAGGAGGCGTGCGAGCCTCGAAGAGGCGTGCGGGCCGTGCAGGGCCCCGGGCTTTGTTTATGATCACCAGGTGGGCGTGGGGACCTCTATGGTCTGCCTCTGACAGGTTCCACCTATCAGTGGTTCTCAGAACAACAGCATCAACATAGGCAGCATCAGCAGGGAACTTGCTGGGTAAATTCCCGGGTTCACCCCCCAGGTGCTGAATCAGCAACTCTGGGAGCGCGGCCCAGGAACCTGCGTTTCAGTACCCATCCAAGCGATTCTGATCACGCTCAGGTCTGAGAGCCACCGGCCTAGACAAGAGGTTCTCAACCAGGGGACTCTGCATCCCTCTCTCCCTGACTCTGGGAGCATCGGACCAGGTCAGGCGACGTTTTTAACTGTCAAGGCTGGGGAAGCGGGGGAGTGTGACTGTCATCTAGTGGGCAGAGGCCACAGGTGCTGCTGAACATCTTACAATGTGCAAGACAGCCCCCACAACAAAGAATTATCCAGCCCCAAGCGTCAGCAGTGCTGAGGGAACCTTGCTCTGGACCAGCAGAGCAGAGGTGAGGACCCAGCTCCCCGTCTCCCAGGCCAAGCCTAGAACCAGTTCTCCATGGATGTGGCCTTGTTCTGCTCAGGAAGGACCCAGCCATGCTAAGATCACAGCAATACCCAAACAAGTTAGGAGTAGAAATTTTTCCTATCTTAAGCTTGGGAAACGTACTAAAAGAGCAATATAATGGATAACCCAGGAACAAAATTTTAGCAAAGATGCTTCATAACTGCTGGCTGAATTGAAATGACTAGAAATAGGAGAGTTAAAGGAAGGTCAGATACACGGTTCTACAGAAAGAGAAAACATTACAGAACAAATTCCCAACAGTCACCCTCTTGGGCAAACTGGAAAGAAACACTGCTTGGTCGCGTCTTGAAACCATACAAACAAGGCATCTTTCCCACCCTAGCTTAACTCACCCCTGGTGAACTGAACGGACCTGGGCTCCCGGGAACTCCGACGCAACCTGGGCGATGTCTTGGAAAGCTTCCTTATCGCTGAAGAAGCGCTCAGCGGCTGCTCCCTTCCCCATGAAGTGAAGGAAGGCTTCCTCCAGGTCATTCCTTGAATGCAGTACCGAGTGGTCCTCGCCACTCCCAGGGTTCAGGCCGAGCGCCTGCAGCAGCTTCACCCCTGACAGCACTACATCCACACACGCATTGACTCTGCAAGGAAGGAGGGAAGAGTGTGAAAGAGGCAGGAGCACTGGGGCAGTGCCTCTACACTGAGCAACAGGGAAACACTCCAGAGGCCTCGGCTCAGAGAAACAGACAAAGTGGGCCTCAGACCTGAACTGGAAAGCAAACAGCATATGGCAGAGGACAGCTGCTTTATCTGTATGTTTCTTAAGATGAGAACACAGGGCTCTTCGCGACAGTCTGGCATACGTTGACACTAGCTACAAAGAGACAAGACAGGTGCTCAGCACTTCAGAACGAAGCTATCATGGTAACACAAACAGCCTCTTGAGAAAATGTGGCAGAGCCAGGTGTCTGGATTCACCCTGGCTGTGTGACTCAGGAGTCACTTTAATTTCTCTGTCTCAGTCTCCTCATGTATAAAATGATGTGATGTGAGTATATAACTCACAGGGCCACTGTGAAGATCGAATAAGTTAGCACACGCTTAGGAACATTGCTTGCTGCAGAGTAAGGAATAAAAGTTTTGGTCAAAAGCCACTTTCCCTCTAAAGACACATCAGGATGGCGGCAAAATACACTAAGTACCTAAATGTCTAAATACTCCCTGTTGAAATCCTTAGAGCTGAGTAGCACCTTATAGATTCAGGTGCACTTGAAGCCTCATGACAACTCATCACTTGGCAGGTGTTCACTGGACACTCCATGAACTTTAAAAGGCTGGTAAGAAGCCAGTGGTTGGCTCTACAGACATCATAAAGTGCACACTAAGGTTGTCTAGCATGGCCTCTCCTATGTGTGCATGGAAAAGTTCTGGCTTACATTTTCAGTGTTTCTCTGCTAAGTCATCCCTTGAAAGAGAAGTTACAAATGCTTTGAAACCAGAAGGTAAACTCATTAATAAAGAAGGCTCAATGGACTGGACTGTAGTGTAAAATAAAGAGCTACAAGGTTTCCCTTCTAGTCTCCTTTAAAAATCTCCTGATCGCAAATCATTAATGTGGTGAACTCTAAGATGAGGAATAAGATCGGGGTAAGGAAGAGGAATTTTATTTTTCATTACATAGATTTTAATTTTTACAAGCATGCATTACTTTTAGAACTCAATTTTTTAAAGGTTCCCATGTCAGCTAGATATTATTTGTATCACTCGGGCAAGGAAGAGAGACATCCCTCCTCATGACACAAAATGACTGCATCCTCACCGTAAGGACTCTTGTAACTTCCTCCCCTGTGATTTCAAGTTTTTGAAAAGGGTTTTGCCTACCACACAGCACTTAAATACTCAAATGTTCTTAATCTTTTAAAGTCAAACACACATATAATTACTCTGGCCAACTGGAAAAGCATATCTAAGAGTGCGTATGCCTTTCAGCACGCAGAACACATTGGCATGCATGTGGCAGGTGATTAATATGTTTAAAACATATTCCTTTTGCAGCCTTACATGATAACCAAACACATCGTGTAAACCGGTCTCAATCCCACGTCACACAGAGCATGCTCTATCTCTACTGGATGCAACATTCCATGCCTGAAGGGTAGGATCTTAACAGGAATACAGGTCACCCTGCTCTCAGACGCCAGCAGGTGCCCGAGTTTCACAGTGAGTTTGGGCAGCTGAGGGCGGTGCTACTCCCACAGAGCGGCCCCACCCAGAGAAGGTGCTCAGATGGACCTGGGTCCTGGGTCTGGAGAGCAAAAGCTCAGAATATATTCAAAAGGAATATACCTACACCTGGAAACGACTTCAGCAAACACATCACTTCATATCTAGTTCTGCTGAGACCTTAAACAGAGTTTGATTCTTTAAAGGTGAGGCTGCAGGCGGTGACGTTCGCAAAGTTACTAAAAAACAAAACTGAATGGAGCAACGTTCAGCATATTTTGCAGCACAAAAGACAAAAACCCAGAACTGATTTTGAGTTACAACAATGTAACTACCACAGGAACGTTTTCCGTCTCCCACTTAACCCTGTCATGAATACTAAGGGAAAATAAACAATCTTAGGAGAACACTTATTTGGTAGCTTTTTATAATAAAAAAAAGACCACTGAACACCTACTATGGGCCGGATACCAAACAAAGAACTGTTACATGTGCTTTCTGGTAATGTTTTACATTACTGCAGCCAGAATGAGACTCTTCCTCCGTGCTTACTTCAACTCAACAGACACTAAAATGTAAACAAGCCCGTTACCTAAGGTGTTTTATCATCAGGGAAAATAAAGGGGGAGGGGAGTGAACAAAAGAACCAGAAGGGAAAAATTATGCTCATGTGACACGTAGGCAGAACGTCACAGTTCAGTAAGAAATGTGTAAAAGATTGCAACGCGGGCTTGGAGAAAACAGACACAGGTGAAGCTACTGGAAAACAGAACAAGGCACCAGAGGCCGATGCCCAAACACGCGGCTCCGTGCGTGGCCGAGAGGGCGCCGTGGGCCGGGCTGCCGGGCGTTTCACAGAGACCGGTGGGGTGGGGTGGGTGGGGAGGGAGGACAGTCGATCCTCCCAGGTTACAAATTCCTTAAAGGCAAGGATGGTGGTTCTTATCACCTCCCTTCTGATTCATCAACTGTAAAATTGTTTCCTAAGGTTCTCTCCAGCTTTCGCACTACACCTGAGAGATTATGAGAGTTAATCGTAATCACTGGAGAGAAGAAAACCCAAGAGGGCAGGAGCCGCAGTCCCGGGACCGCACCCTGGGTGGTGCTCTGAACAGAGAAAGATGGTGGGCATTTTCGGAGACCACACCAAGTGGACAGGGAAGTTAGTCATCACTGCTTTCAGCTGAGAAAGGCTGGGGGTTAACTGTCATTGCAAACGCCACACCTGGAGAAGCCTGAATTCAAACCCAGACTTATCTGATACTGAAGCCCACACAGGGAGCACACACAGCAAAGATGTGGGCCTTGTGTCTGGACACAACAAGAACACTGAGAAGAGAGAGTCTGAGCAGGGGAGAAGAGCAAGACAGGTTTCAAATGTATGGGGGAGCAAACGCTAGGGTGAGGGATCCCTCATTCACCCAGTGAGCCTGAGGACCAGTGTCGGATTCTGAAGCAAGGAAGGCAGCACACGTTTTAGAAAGGTGTGGCCGTGGGCTCCCCACTGACCATCTTCTTGAAACCCCTCCTGTCCTTTACTTCTCGCCGTCACATGCCGGTGCTCCCAGATACCCGCCCTGCACCCCCCATTTACCTTTCCTTTTTGTCCTCTTCCTGGGTGATGCTGTCCAGTCTCTGGCTTCAACCTAAGTGCTGGCACCGCCAAGGTCTGCGACCCTGCTCCTCAGCACGCGCCTGCGCTCCAGCCTTTCGCTGTCGGCACCTGCCTTCAGCAGCTCTGACGGTGGCTCAGCAACCTCTAAAATCCCACAGGACTGTACATTTCCCCTGCCCCAAAACCCAAACGGTCACCTTCCACCACAGACTTGTTCCTTTTTCTTCACCTCTCAACAATGTGTCATGAACTTGGAGCCAGGATGGGTTTAAGCTGCACCTCTGGCATTTGATAGGATGTTCTTGAGCAAACCAATGTTTCCAAGCCCCAGTTTACTCTCTGTGAAAACTGGATGATCTGTATCTGCTCATATGAGTTTGTTATAAGATCCCCAATACTAAAAACCTGTCCTTTCTGACTGCCTCCATTTACTCTAGCACACCCAGCCTGCCATCAAATCTCGCCTGTTTAGCACCATTGCCAAACAAGCTCGACGGGCTCCTAATTACTATCGGGGTCTCAAGACCTTCCTCTTTCTGAATCACATTAGATTGTGTGTTTTGAGTGTGTGAAAGAGAGAGTGAATATACGTGTGTGCATGTGTGTGTTCTCCTGAAAGGTCAAACTACAACCCACCCCCATGAGATTCTGGTACGAGCGCCAGACCCACCTACTCCTTGCACATTCCCATCTTCAGGCTGAAGATCCCTTTGGGTAATGAGAAATGCTGGTAAGAATGGGTGTCTCTTACCCACAAAAATAATGCCAAGCCTTAGACATGAGGCAAAGAGGTCAGAAACACTACTCAAATTTCGTATCCCCACCAGTTTTTCTCTGCAAAGAACTTAGCATCATTTACCTTATAAGCCTTTATGGCCTTCCCATCACCTACCCTGATATAAAAGGCTCCTTTCAGCATCCTCTCCTGACTCCACTCTACCATAAGGTCCTTGCCCTAAACACAGGGCCAACCTGCTATTCCCACCCAAGCCACATACTTTTTCATATTTGGTTCTCTCTGTCTAGGTGGGCTTATTCCCTCACCTTCTTGTGGAGAAATTCTATTTTTCCTCCAGGGTCTGTCCCATGCAAGTCACTACTGCAGAATATATTTTCCAAGATGGCCACAAGATGCCCCTTCCCACGTGGTCTTTTTACAATGTGGGGCCGACATTCTTCCCATCCAGGTGTGTTCTGTGTCCCCTTCCCTTAAAACCATTTGGACCTGAGACTATGGTAGAAAGGACACTGTGTGCTTCTAAGGTTAGGTCATAAAAGGCATTAATTAATCCTTCTGCCTGGCCCTCGTGGGGCATTCCCTCTCCGAACCCAGTCACCCTGCTGAGAGAAAGCTAAATAGCTACATAGAGAAACCATGTGTAGGCGTTCAAGTGAAACCACAGCTGAGGCTGTAAGCTGACAACCACAATCAACCCTTTAGATGACTCCAGTCCCAGCCATCCTCTGCCTGAAATCGCACAAAACCCCAAGTGAGAACTGCCTAGCCGAGCCCAAAAGAACCTCAGAATCATGAGAATAAAATGACCATTGTTTTAAGCTACTAAGTTTTGGAGCGATTTGCGATGGAGCAGTAATAAATGGAATGTCACCTCCTCAGATGGAGCGTTTCCTGAACCCCATCCTGGGAAGAATCAGCAATTCTTCTTTGGGACACAGGCTACCTTGTTCCAACCCATAGTTTAGCAAAGCACTTTTCATACATATTATGGCCAGCCCTGGGTCCTCCTCTCTCCCAATTCATATGCTGAAGTCCTAATCACAAAGGTCACTGCATTTGGGGGAGGTGATTAAGGTCAAATGAGGCCATTATCTAATGAGTGTCGGTTTAAGAAGTAGAAGTGAAACCAGAAGTGCACATGAACAGAGGAAAGGCCACAGGAGTACGCAGCAAGAAGGCAGCCATCTGCAAGCCCAGAAGAGAGGACTTGATCTTGAACTATCAGCCTCTAGAATTGCGAGAAAATAAATGTACTCACCCAGTCTGTGGTATCCTGTTATGATAGCCAAGCAGGCTAATACAATAATGAATATATTTGTTTCCAACAAATGAGTCTGGGACCTTGCTTCATCCATCCCTGTATCCTCAGAACTTAGCACAGACCTGACACATACCACGTAGTTGATGAGTATTTGTTGAATGAATGCGCACAAAGCCAGGGAGAACAATTATGAAGCTGATAAGGATGCAGGTGAAAGGGCTTGAACTTAAACGAGGAGATTAAAGAAGATACACCTGAAGAAACAATAAACGTCCTAATCGATTTAACAAATACTAGCTAACATCTGGTGTCTGCTCTTGAAAGCAGACACCATGCTAAATAACATGGACTATTTCATTTAATCTTCAGGATCTTTGCTCTACCTTGCTCATCCTGTCCCAATACTCACAGGAACTAGTAGAATACTTGCAGAATAAAAGGCCTGCTTTTGTATAGTGCTTTTGAGGTGACGGCAAGACATTCAAGTAGAACTGACAGGGACTAAAGTTAGTGTAAAGAGAATAATGACACGCTGGAGAGGAAGACAAAGAAAGGAGGCTCTGTGATTTGGTAGACTCCGAAATATGCAATGTCACTGAGGTCAAGGGAAGAGAAGAGTGTTAAGGATAAGGAAGTGCTTAACGCGTGGAAGGCTGCAGAGAGCTGACAGTGAAGATTTAAAAAGGCAGCTGAATATGAAAATCAACAAGTCTCCGGTGAGCTTTGAGAAGTTTCAGCAGAATGGTGGTCTCCAGACTATGGCGTTACGGAAGAGGAAACAAGGTGTAAAGAAAGTAACTCGGTAGCTAAAGGCAGCGACCACTCCTTCAAGTAGTTCAGAAGCAAGAGGAAGAAGAGTGTTGCAAAAACGGTAAGACCAAGCATCTCTGACTGCAAGAGAGCAGCGGCCAAAGGAGCAGTGACTGGAACGAAGGAGGCTCGAACTCTGAGTCAGGCTGAGTGGGATTTGCAAGAGACTATTAGGTTGGTTCTGCGGAGACGAGAGAAGGGGGCTGGTCCTACCGAGATGGGAAAAGGGTGCAGGGGCCAACCGAGAGGAATAAGTCTGGTGAGTCCCCGCAGCAGTGACGAACCGGGCTCGTCCCAGACGTCCGGCGCTTCTCGCCAAGGAGGCAGCGTGGACACCAGCGCCGAGGGGCCTCCCGGGGACCTCTGGGAACCCGTCTCCGAACTGGCGCTACCTCCCAGCTCCCAAGCCGTCTGGAGGCTACAGGTCTTGGCCCGGAGACCCGCAGCGCCCGCACCTCCTGGTGAGGCAGGCCCCGAAGGCACTCACCCCACCGCCACGCGGCGCCAGCGCCGGGCCGGTCTCACGATGAGCGCGTCCCAGGCGGCCGCCAACCGGCCCTCAGGGGAGCCGGGTC